GAATTATATTCCTAATCTCTCTCTCTCTCTCTGTTAAGCCTGCGGTTGAGGGGGATAACCTCACCGGAGAAGACGGCCGACGGCTACGAACTGCGTAGCCGCGGTCCGGCCAGTCAGGGGTTCGACGCCCTTGACAACCTGGTATCACGGTCACGTCGGTCCTCTCCCACGCGCTCCACCCATTCTTCCACAGCCGCCGCCTACCACCCTAGCCCTCCACCATCGCCGCAGTCCTCCACCGCTTCAGCGCCGCAGCCAGCAGCCATGAGCCATCCCACCATCGCCGATGTGATGGAGATGTTGAAATCCATCACCACGGAGATGACAACCATGAAGGCCGACATGGCGGCTATGAAGGAGAAGTCGGCCTCGTCGTCGGACAGCGGCGCCGGCGGCCGCCCGGAGGGGCCGCGCGATCTTGATCGCCCCCCAAAATTCCAAAAATTGGATTTTCCCCGCTACGACGGCAAGACTGATCCGATGCTCTTCATCAACAAGTGCGAATCTTATTTTCGCCAACAGCGCAGCTTGGCGGAGGAGCGCGTGTGGATGGCCTCGTACAATTTGGAGGACGTCGCGCAACTCTGGTACCTCCAACTCCAGGAGGACGAGGGCACGCCGCCGTGGGGGCGATTCAAGGAGCTCCTGCACTTGCGGTTCGGGCCTCCCCTCCGTTCGGCTCCGCTGTTCGAGCTTGCCGAGTGCTGGCGTACAGGGACCGTGGAGGAGTACTCCAATCGCTTCCAGGCCCTCCTGCCTCGCGCGGGTCATCTTGATGAGGCTCAGCGCGTCCAGCTCTTCACCGGCGGACTCCTGCCGCCGCTCAGCCACGCCGTCCGCATCCACAACCCGGAGACGCTCGCGGCCGCCATGAGCCTGGCGCGCCAAGTGGAGTTGATGGAGATCGACCGCCCGGTGCAGCCTCCCCCTCGGACGCCCCCGTGCGGCCTACTTCCCGCTCCCGCGCCCCGGCCAGCTTTCCAGGCGCCCCAGCAGCCGCTGCCGCTCCCTGCCCCTCCGGTGGCCGCCCAGCAGGGTCGCGGCGAGGGCAACCAGAGGCGCCTCACCCCGGACGAGATGGCGGAACGGCGCCGTCTGGGTCTCTGTTTTAATTGCAATGAAAAATATACCCGTGGCCATAACAGGTTTTGCCGGCGCCTCTTCTTCCTTGAAGGCGTGGAGCTCGAAGACGCCGCGGACGCCGCTGGCGACGCGGAGCACGACGCCGAGGCGCCCTGTTTTTCCCTGCAGGCCATGGCTGGGGTTCCCATGGCGGGCACCATGCAGATCGCCGTGGCAATCGGCGCCGCGTCCCTCGTCGCCCTCCTCGACTCCGGCAGCACGCACAACTTCATCTCGGAGGAGGCGGCGCGGCGCTCCGGTCTACCCCTCCGCCAACGCCCCCGCCTCACAGCCTTGGTCGCCAATGGTGAGCGGGTCACCTGTGCCGGCGTCATCCGCGACGCGCCCCTGCTCATCGACGGCGAGTCGTTCCCGGCCGACCTCTACGTCATGCCACTGGCCGGGTACGACGTCGTCCTCGGCACCCGGTGGCTCGGCGAGTTGGGGCCCATTGTTTGGGACCTCGGCCGCCGGCGCATGTCCTTCCAGCGCCAGGGGCGCCCCGTCTCCTGGACCGGCGTGGCCAGCCCCTCTGTGCCGGCCCTGGGCGCAACAACAGAGGCCGGTCCCCTCCTGGAGGCGTTGTTGCTCTCGTTTGGGGGGCTCTTTGCGGACCCCGTCGGTCTGCCCCCCAAGCGTGCGCACGACCACCGCATTATTCTCAAGCCCGACGCCCAACCGGTCGCCGTCCGCCCGTACCGGTACCCCGCGGCTCACAAGGACGAGTTGGAGCGGCAGTGTGCCGCCATGATTGATCAAGGAATCGTCCGCCGCAGCGACTCGCCGTTCTCGTCGCCCGTCCTCCTCGTTAAGAAGCCCGATGGTTCGTGGCGCTTCTGCGTCGACTACCGGGCGTTGAACGCGCTCACCGTCAAGGATGCTTTCCCGATCCCGGTGGTCGACGAGCTACTCGACGAGCTCCATGGCGCCAAGTTCTTCACCAAGCTGGACCTCCGGTCCGGGTACCACCAGGTGCGCATGCGACCGGAGGACGTGCACAAGACGGCGTTCCGCACCCACGACGGCCTGTACGAGTTCCTGGTGATGGCGTTCGGACTGTGCAATGCCCCGGCGACATTCCAGGCCTTGATGAACGACGTGCTCCGCCCGTTCCTGCGCCGCTTCGTCCTGGTATTTTTTGACGATATTCTAATTTACAGCAAGACGTGGGCTGATCATCTTCGCCACCTCCGGGCCGTCCTCGACGAACTACGCCGCCACCAACTCTTCGTGAAGCGCACCAAGTGCTCTTTTGGTGCCTCCTCCGTCGCCTACCTCGGCCATGTCATATCCGCGGTGGGTGTGGCCATGGACCCGGCCAAGGTGCAGGCGATCCATGATTGGCCGGCTCCACGTTCGCCCCGGGCTGTGCGCGGTTTCCTCGGCCTCGCCGGGTACTACCGCAAGTTCGTACACAACTACGGGGCGATTGCTGCACCGCTGACGGCCCTACTCAAGAAGGAGGGTTTCTCCTGGGACGACGCGATGGCCGCGGCATTCACAGCGCTCAAGGCCGCTGTCACGTCCGCCCCCGTCCTCGCCATGCCCGACTTTGCCAAGCTGTTCACCGTCGAGTGCGACGCGTCGACGTTCGGCTTCGGCGCGGTCCTGGTCCAGGAGGGCCATCCGGTAGCCTTCTTCAGCAGGCCTGTGGCGCCTCGCCATCGCTCGCTAGCCGCCTACGAGCGCGAGCTCATCGGCCTCGTCCAGGCGGTACGGCACTGGCTCCCATATCTCTGGGGGCGGCGCTTCATCGTCAAGACCGACCACTACAGCCTGAAGTACCTCCTCGATCAGCGCCTCGCCACGATCCCTCAGCACCACTGGGTCGGCAAGCTCTTGGGCTTCGATTTCTTGGTGGAGTACCGGTCGGGCGCCACGAACGTCGTCGTCGACGCCCTCTCCCCGTCGCGACAATGATGAAGGGGAGGTGATGGCTATTTCGGCGCCCTGCTTTGACTTCATCGAGCGCCTCCGCCACGCCCAGGCCACTGATCCGGCCCTGGTCGCCATCCACGATGAGGTCCGGGCTGGCACCCACGCCGCTCCGTGGGCGCTGGTGGACGGCATGGTCGCCTTCGACGGCGCCGCAGACATTCCCGGCGTCGCCCGCTCTGCGAGAGATCTTGGCGCGGTCCACAACGACGCCATGAGGGCATCCACCGCACTCTCCACAGAGCTCCGCGGGATTTTCATTTTCCCACCATGCGCCGTTTGGTGCGAGGATTTCGTGAAGGCTGCGTCACATCGCTGCCGCATAAGTCCGACCACCTCGGGCGGCCCGGTCTGCTGCGCACCCCATCGCCGGTTCCATCCGCTGTGTGGGCTGACATCGGCATCGACTTCATCGAGGCGCTGCCCAAGGTGCAAGGCAAAACGGTCATCCTCTCCGTGGTGGATCGCTTCAGCAAGTACTGCCATTTCATCCCCCTGGCGCACCCCTACACCGCTGAGTCAGTCGCTCACGCCTTCTTCGCCGACATCGTTCGTCTCCATGGCGTTCCGCAGTCCATCGTCTCGGACCGCGATCCAGTGTTCGCCTCGGCGTTCTGGCAGGAGCTCATGCGGCTCACTGGGACGAAGCTCTATATGTCGTCCGCCTTTCACCCGCAGACGGACGGCCAGACCGAGGCCGCCAACCGGGTCATCGTCATGTACTTGCGCTGCTTCACCGGCGACCGTCCCCGGCAGTGGCTCCGTTGGCTGCCATGGGCGGAGTACACCTACAACACCGCCTATCAGTCATCGCTCCGCGAAACTCCGTTTCGGGTAGTCTATGGCCGGGACCCCCCGACCATCCGCTCCTATGAGCCCGGCGAGACCCGCGTCGCAGCGGTCGCCCAGGAGATGGAGGAGCGCGCTGCCTTCCTCGACGACATCCGCTATTGCCTTGAACAGGCACAGGCTGTCCAAAAGCGCGTCTACGACCAGCACCATAGGCCGGTGTCCTTCCAGGTCGGCGATTGGGCTCTTCTGCGCCTTCGGCAGCGGGCAGCTGCATCCCTTCCACGCTCGGCAATAGGGAAGCTCAAGCGCGACGTCGGGCCGTGCATTTGTGGCGGAGCTCATCAACGAGGTGGTCAGGCGGCTCTGACTTCCTCCCCGCTTCGCCTTCATGATGTGTTTCACGTCGGCGTCCTCAAGAAATTTGTCGGTACCCGGCCGGCCGTTCCACCCTGCGCCTCCGCTCTGCCGGTGCGGTCTTTGTGGTGCTGCACTGACCGCACGTAGCCTGACGCGAGCTCGGCTGGCCCCGGGAGTGCGCCAGTGCTCGTTGAATGGCGGAGAACCACCGCTTGGCTACATGGGAGGATCTGGGCGACCTCCGTGCTCGGTTCCCTTCCTTTCAGCTCGAGGACGAGCCGGACTTGACGGAGGGAGAGATGTCATGTGCGGGCCTTTTATATGCCAGCAGCAGACGCTTTCCACGACGTCCGCTTGTGTGCGTGCTGGCCCCAGTGGCCAGCGTTAGGCGGTATTTGCATGGGTTAGCCTCTAGTGGCTAAAGATAGAAACTTAGATTAGTGAGTTGTTTTGGAAATTCCTAGAATCGGGAGAGCCTTTCCCTTCTCGGTTGGGCCATTGGCCATATATGCTTGTGATCATTGAACAAATCAATCAAGAAGGTTATATTCCTAATCTCTCTCTCTAACTCTTAGAGAGAGAGATAACCTCACGAGGAATATAATTCTTTCTTGATTGATTTGTTCAATGCATCACAAGCATATATGGCCAATGGCCCAACCGAGAAGGGAAAGGCTCTCCCTGATTCTAGGAATTTCCAAAACAACTCACTAATCTAAGTTTCTATCTTTAGCCACTAGAGGCTAACCCATGCAAAGACTCGCCTAACGCTGCCCAAATGCAGCAAGCTGACGTCATGGCGGCGTGTCATGGCGTGTCAGCATATATGCGTCCGTCCATGACATGACTTGACATGTATAGGCCCATCTTGCAATGTACTTATGCACCTCATTGGTTCTTTCTTTCCAAAGTTCCTTGTTCAGCTGTTGTTGCTTCAAAGAATCAGACTTGGTAGCTTTAGGATCAATGGCACGTGTCCATTTGTCAATGGGTCCTAATTTGTGGGGCTCTGAACTTCCAACACATGTAACTTCATCTGACTCTCCAACCCTAGATACACTAACTTCCTCTCTAAGTTCTAGCTCACGAATAGTCTTCTCCTCCCTCTTTCTTTTTGCCTCATCTAGTGCTTTCTTGCACTTCTGTTTAGCCTCCATGGCCTGCACTGTTGTAGCCGTGCATTTCTTCACATTCTTTCCCTCATGAGCCAAATGCTGCTTCAAACCTATAAATCCCTCCCCTCATCTCCTTCTTACAAAGCTTGCACTTCACCTTGTCCTTGTTGTTAGGATCAACAAGAACACCATACTCCCATCCAACATCATCCGAATTCCATTTCAGGAGATTCGCTGACTCACTATTTTCTCCCTCACCTAGTGCACCCTCTGTTGTAGACATCCTACATTTAGACAATGGGCATTCACAGCAGGCAAAATCAGATCAACTCATCCATTCACATTCACAGAATCATAGGCATTCAAATCAGAGGAGAGAAGCAGGGGATGCATTCAAAACAGAGGACATGGAGGAGAGGAGCAGGGGAGGGGCCTGACCTTGGTGCTGCGCTGCGCCGCTTAGGGATGAGGCTGTCGGCTGGGTGAGGAGACCGGCGGCAGCTTCCAGGCAGGGCAGCAGGTTCCAGGCGGGGCAGAGGAGGCCGGCCGGGACAAGCCTCCAGGCGGGGTCGCGGGGAGCAGGGCGACCGGCGGGTGGAGCTTCCCTCCGGCGCGCCGTCGCAGGAGGAGAGGACGAGCGGGAGTGGCCGAGCGGCTATCTGCGACCTGGAAGGCAAGAATCGAGCGGGAGCGGACCTTTTCCTTCTTCTCCTTCCCGCGCGCATCCTTTCCCGCGCCAGACGCCATAAGCGCGTGCGCGCTTCCGCGGCGGCCAAAAATTTCGCCCGTGAGCGGGTCGTCCGCCTACGCGCCGCCTTGCGTGCCTGCGCGCCGCGGAATCGCCGCCGAGGCGCCGATTTGCGCCGCCTAGTCGCTGCTCCCGCCTAGGACTGCGACTACACCCTAGTCTACGCGGAGGGCCATCGATTAGCGCTTAAGCGCGCCTAGGCGCGCCTAGGCGAGCGCCTAGCGGAACTTTGATCATGACGTAATTTTCTCTTGTTAGTTGGTGTGCTGAAAATCTTTATTGCCTTTCTAGCTTTGTATAGTAAATTTAATGCCACTTGCATAATTGGATATTTAGCATCCTGAAGTTTTATAATAGCAGTCTAGTAGATGCTCTGGAGGTGTTATTTGTTGGCTATCCATTGTATGCTGATGTATAATGTATATAGAGCCTCTACTCTTCTGAAGGTTTGTGGCAACCGTAGGTGAAGATCTCGCTTCACTTCCGAGCCAATGGGTACTCAACATTATTTCTCACTGATTCAAGATGTTTCCTTAACCTTTTAACTTTTTGGTTTATACTGACTCTGCGTGTATTTTATTGTTCAAGAGTCTAGAAAGATTTCTATGCTGACAATTGCTCAACATATATTTTTTCAGAACTAAACCTGAGACGCCACTTGCCTAAACCTGTCAATTATGCAGTCTCTTCTACTTGCAAATTCAAAGCTGTTTTTCCTTGCAACTATCTATCCTATCCCACTGAGGCAGATTAGCAGCTTATTTACTTGCAAATTATGCCTTCATCTTAATCTTGCCTAGCATTGTGGTGGTGGGACCCATACTAATAAAATATATGCTTTGGAAAAAGTGAAAAGACCAACTGTTTTTATGAATAATCTATTAAGCTAGTGTCCAAATGACATGGCTTGGCTATAAGCCAAGCTTATTGGCCTTGCACTTAACTTAAGGAATATATCAGGGTTTTTATTTTTCATCTCCGAAGTGCTAAAATGATTGTTGCTAAGACCTAATGAGCTACACAATGCAGTATTCAACTGTCATATCCTGAAAAATTTATTTGATAATTTGTTTTCATGTGAACTCTCAGCTTATAAATAACGTTTGTCTGGATGTAATCTCAGATGGAAAGCTATATTGCAATATATATTATTCTTTACGCAATGAATTCTTTTAATTTCTTGTCAGAGTCAGCAGTCTAGGAGAAGTAGTTTCCTAATGGTAAACTTCCGCTTCTTACCATTTCCTTTTCAGCATGATATTTTGTTTTGGACTGCACACTTCAGAGTTCAGTCACACCCAAAACTCTGATCAAGTGAAACTATTACATTTTTAGCTAGCACTCTCTTTGCATCTTTACTAATTTTCTGCATTGATCATACTCGCAGATTCATAAGCCTTTGTGCTATCTGACATACTCTTTATTTTTGCTGAAAAATTATGTAGGTTAGCAGTCGTTTACATGCACGATGATTCAAATCTTCTGATCACACTTTTCAATGAAAACTTGCAAATGTGGGAATTAGAGCACTTTCTTCCACTTGTCTGTATCCCTAGATTCACCATTATTGAGTTGTGCATTGTTTACTACAATTAACAGTTATATCTAAAGCTAGTTTGTAAAGCTTTCAAATTCGTGAGTTCATCCAGTTCATTCATATAAATATTGGATCTAGCTCAGTTCATAAGGTAGTGGACAACGGTAGACTGTTTTGTGTTTAACAACTTGTGTGTCAAATGTCTAACTGAATTTATGCTACCTTTTATATCAGGAATTACACTGGCTTGAGTGGAAATAAAACAACTTGCATGTCAAATGTTTTGTGTTAACAACTTGCATGTCAAATGTTGTGTTAACAACTTGCATGTCAAATGTTCGTTCAAACGTCTAGCACTGATATAATAACTTTTTCTATTTTTTCCTCATATGCATGTTTATGGCTTTGTGCTCATATGCATGTTTATGGCTTTATGCAATCTCACACATGCTAGTGATAAGGCCATAAAGACTTATTCATAGTAGCACAATAGCATGCTACAAAAAGCATTTCATATATACACATTGCAAATATCAAAGAATGTTTCTTTTCTGTTTCAGACCCTAGGAACCAAACCAGTTTGCTTTGATCTTTGGTCTTAGCATCATGTATGAGTGAGTGTATAGTTAGATGATTCCTGAATAGTTTAATTGCCGAATAAACAATAAAATTTATCTCCTAGGCGCCCACCCCATTGGTATGTTCATTGCAGGCATGGTGCTTCTAAGACTAGGATCTGAACCTATCCTGCCCACCTATGCTAAAATTGTTTTCTCTGACAGAATATTGTCGTCTGAGAATTTTCAGACGATGTTGGTCTCATCCTTGTCCTGTTTATGCAGCCAGGAACAAGCAGAAAGATAGCAGTATCAGAGTGTGGAACTGGTGTCCCTTGATACCTTCATGGCTCTAAAGTTGAGTATTTTGTGGTTTCTCTGGGAAGCCATTTTATTGTAGACTATCGGGCTATCTCTTCTATTTTGGTTCTCAAGTGTCCAAGCGTTACCAACTAGATATGTTAGGCAAAACATATTAGCTGCAGACGGTCCGATAATCAAATTGATATCACCATAAATATTCATTTCTAGAAACAGATATTAGGATTGTTCTAGAAAATAGGTGTTCATAGGAATCCTTGCATGCTACGCGACAATAAAAAATATTATTTAGAAACACATTCCACAGTATGATTCATTAATAAAATTTTAATTGAGTGGATTCACTTATTCAGTTAACTACTGATTCCGAGACACAAGACTTAGTACGATGATTAATTTATGACATTATAAGTGACTGCTGTGATATAGTAACTATGGTGGATTAATTAGCAGCTCCTTTTTTGCTCAATGCATAAGCATGGCAAATTAAAACTTGAACTTGATCATCACTGCAGCTAGAGTTCGGTCAATTTTGATTGAAGATCTAGCTATCCATGTACTTATGCATCGGAGACTTCACTTAATCAGCTTATATCTTTTTTGATTTGTCAACCAAACTGACTCTTGTCATGGTTTTTTTTTTGTAGTGACGGAGCTATGGTCATGTTTTTTTTGTAGTGACGGAGATATGGCCATGAAGTTCAGGTGCTGAATAAGAAGGGGTGATGTGGGCTGATGGCCAAGTGAGACATCAGTTTTTCCATGCTGGTGCTCTCCAGGTAATTTTGTCTTCCTCCTGACTCTGTCTTCCTCTGTGCTGTAGTAAACTTTGATTTCTTTTCCTTTTTTTGATTGTGCTATGCTGGTTTCGATTTGTAAGAGAGAAATCCAGTATATATATATATATATATATATATTCATTATGAGGTAATGCAAATGAGACAGGGAGATGGGGAGAGTGGCGTATGCCCCATTTTCCTATTCTTCTCGGCCAATGAATTAATAGTGAATATTGTTTTGCTCTTGCAGTTTTTAGAAGACATTATAGCCACACTGATGCTGCTGAGGCAACACCTTTTTGGTATCCCATGTCAGGAGTGATGGTGTGGTACTGTAGTGGACGATCTTGTGCTCATTTTGCTTAAGTTTTAATACGTTCAATTATGAAGATACTGACACAATTAGTAGTAAAAAAATCTATTGCTTCGACATATGAAAATAGTTGAAAGTAGATGAATAAATTAAATTTATCTGGTACTGCATTTGCAAGATAACTTGAGCATATAAAGCTGGACTACAGCTAATTTGGCTGCATGGATCACACATGTACTCCTGATACAATTTAACTTTGCGTAGAGACCCCGCTTAAACTGCATGGATAAATTAGTAACAGAAATTATTCCTATTCCTGATTCCACTTATAAACATACTTTCTGTTATTTCATTTGACATCCTAATGTCAGTGTTTTGAAGGACTGTTCAAAGTATATTTACTGTTGTTATTTAATGATTTGAAAATTTTGCCTATGTTTTGTTTCATGCCAGATGTGATTTAGTGACTAATATATGGATGTATATTATCAGTTCGTGATTCCATGTTTTCTCAGTTCTGCATATGGATTATCTAGGCAAGATGAAATACGCTAATGCATGCACAAATTAGTCATGCAGACTTCCTTATGATTTCTTTAGAATTTTCAGTCATGCAGATCCAATTAATCTGTAGCATCCAAGTTTGCTCTGATGGACCGACAGAGTTGGGCTCAGAACAGTCTAGGAAATGCCATTTTTCTCAGTATTCATAGATATCTTTACTTCTAAATCATATTTTTAGATGTTCAATTATGAATGGGCACACCACCGGGAAGAGTGCAAAACGAGCTGTTATTTTTTATTGCACTTTTTAGGGGTCAGGTAATAAACGTATATAGCTGTTGGTGGCGCCTCCCAGCTTTAGTTGTTTTTATTTGCTATATTCATACTTGTTTTCTCCCATTCAAAATTTTTGACTCATTGATGTTTATCCAGTTATTTAAGAAAGCACAAATTAGTATCTGAGTTTGCAGGAAATCCGTGTGCATGGTTTACTCTATTATTAATCATGAAGTTCTTTTTCAATGTTTTCTTTTGTTTCGCTTCTTTCGACAGGTTAATCAATTAGCAGCCATTAGAGAGGCGACAGAAGCAAGTGTTGTATTAGTTTTGTTTTTTCTTTTTATAAAAAATATTGTATGTGATTTAGTGGAAAAAAGGTTTATGGCTTGAAATACGATTGTATGATTCATTTGCCTTTAAAACCCAAGTTTTGTGATCAGCATCATCATAAATATATAAAATCACGTTTTTACCTTCCAGTTGGAGACTCTTATTTGTTGAATCTTGCCTCACCTATTTCAATATGAAATCTACCATTCAAATCCAAAAATAAGAAAACAATACACGTTCACGTTCACCCGTCAGAGAAACCACCAGACTAAAAGAAAATCGACCAAAATCGACTGCAAGGAAAAAGGGAAAAAAATCGGCCACAAGAGCCGACCATGTGATGTAGAAAGATAAACT